GGCTTCCTTCTTCTTTTCACTACTCCAGCTTCAGTTGACTTCTTGACTCTGTCCCCTACATCCACTACCTGGCATCCAGGACCAAATACCTGGACTATCAACCTTGTTGCTTCATCCCTGCAGCATTCAAGGTTAATCCGTCTAAGTGACATTTTTGAAATTCCAACGGTGCCACCCAATCATGCCCATCTTCTGTCACATAGATGAGATATACATTCAGGTCTGACCTTCCCTCAAGACTGATTTTTCATGTCTGGGACTTGTAATATCTCTAGAACAGCAATGTCAACAGGATGGAAGCCGGCCATACCTGAGTCTTTGTTCTCTCCTTAGTGTCCTTTGCTTTGGGTCATGTGTGTTTCCTAGCTTCAGGCCACTTGGTAACTGGAAGAAGCTGGAGGACAGAAGCGGTACTCACCTTGCTGTTATCCCAGTGCTCCATAACACCCGCTGGGCATCCTGCAGATGACCCTTGGTAGAGTCTTTATTTGCACAGCCTCCAAATACGTTTTTCATTTCTAAACTTGGATGGAATTAGAGAAAATACAATCAAATTTTACCACTTGGAGGACACAGGGGTTAGCCCAGGACCAAAGGGGCCAATGGATTTTCCAAGGTGTGCCCCAGCCCAAGAGGCACTAGTGTCTGGTCAATGTTGGGTCCTCCCCACTCTGATCTCCTGACTCTCCAGCTTCCAGGAAGGTTACTTCTCAGAGCTACACCCTCTTTTTGTGCAAGTACCTTCCTGAGCAGAAGAACTGGAGAAAGGGAAGCAGAGTCAGGAGGAGGGTCTGAATAGAGTCAAGCAACTGGCTTGACCACAATCTGAAGCAAGGTGCCACTTAAACAGATACTGTTTTCTCAAAAGGGCAGAGGAATCCTGTTGCAGATGGCAGCCTTTCCCCCAAGTTTTCTCTAGCCCTGTACCTTGCTTCCTGGGAATATGATTTAGGATTGCTGTTGAAGGCTTCCTCAAGCAAACTCCAGCTTAAAGCCCCAGACATTGGGTAGCAGCATGGGTTTCTTTCCATTTTGTGGGCATCAAATACGTGGTTTAGAATAAGGAACAAGCATTACTCCTTTGCCAACAGCCTCACTCTAAGAGGCTTTTTTGCTGAGTCAAGCAAACACTTGCCTGCTCTGCCCCTTGGAGCTGCATTTGACCTGCTCTCACTGGTAAGGTGACGTGGTGGCATTCCCACTTGATCTAAGCCATTTTCTCTCATTTTGAGACCACTGCCATCTGTCCACCTGCCCACCTCCACTCTTTTCTCTCTCAATAACATTGCCATTTGTTTTTTGCCTTTGATAAACTGTGATGTACTGTTCTGAGATCTTTTGGGTGCAGTTCTGAAACTGAAAGGACTGTTAACATGCTTTTAATTTTATATCTATGCTTTCAGACTCTGATGATAATTTTTTTAAAAAAATTATTTTCTCGAAGAGCAACTTACAATAGGACAGCCTTACGAGGGTTTGCTTGAGAGGCAGTGTGGCTTCTGTGAGTGCCAGATCTAAATCTCGATCTTGCCCCAGCTTTACAGGGTAACTTGGGTCCACAGTCCCTCTTTGTGCCTCAGTTTACCCACCCATTAAATGGGAACATTACTGTCTTCCCCTCCCTACCTCACGGGGCATGCTTGGGAAGCTGGGGACATTGCTATGCAAATGTGTGAATCTTAGTCACGGATTTGATTTTTAGTTCTCCCTGTACCCCACAGGCAAGGCCTTCCTCCTGAGTTCCTGCCTGGGATCCCAAGCCTAAGAATAGGCCATTAGGGAGCATTAGCTCCCTAAATCCCTCCTTGGCCTCTTGGACTGAGCTCCTCAGCCTTTCTTCTTACCCTTCAGACAGGAGGGTTCTCTTTAGATGTATTCAGGGGGATCCTTCCATGGCTGGAGGTCACCTTGACTGGGTACTTGGCTTCTCCATGCCTGAAATACAGCAGAAGACACAGGTGTTTATGATGCAAAAACCTGCTCTGAGGTCAGAAAGTGCGAGTTTTCCAAAACCTCTCTCATTCCTGCTGGCTATCTGGGGGAAGAGGAGAAGAGCCCATTCCAGAGGCAGAAGGGAAGCCCCTAGCCGAGGGTAAAGGTTGGGACATATATGCATGTATCTCTGTATATGTGTATGCAATCATCCTCATCACCATCCCTGAGAAAACATTTCTTTTTCAAGTCAGAGCACGCCTGAAAGGGTTTGTGGAGAGCCCAGCTCACCAGGGACTCTGGTTGCCGTAGCAACCTTCCAGACTGTTCTCTCTATCTTCTGCTTTGGGCATCCAGGGAGACCAGGGGACTACATCTTCCCAGCTTCTCAAATGGGAGCACCTCCCACATAGTGGTTTAGGGGCTGGGAGTGCCGGGACAGGGATGTGGGACTTTTGGAAAATGAGGAGGAAGCCCCAAAGCTTCCTGTCTGGACTTTCCTTCCTAGTTTCCCCACCCAGTCACTGAAGCTGCCTCGTCTTACTCCTGATTCTTCAGAAATTGAATGTTAAGCAACTGCCCAGTTAAACCAACATCAATATTAATTTTTTCGGGCTGCCGAGGGAAGTCCTTCGAGGGGACAACTTATCCTTGGAGTGGCAGCCAGGCTGGGCCACACCAGGAGTGGTAACAGTCTTAGGTATCATGGAGTTCCCGTCTCCGCACACACAGGCTCTTCTCACCTCCACGAGAGACGAAGAATTGCAATTTCTTCTTCCCCGGGAGCAGTCTTTCTAGCTCCTGGGAGGAATCTCAAAGATCTTTCTTCTTAAGACATCGAAGAAAAACTGAGAGGCTATAGCTCGACCTAGTTTCTGGGAAGAATTTTATCAAGTGATGCTTCTCTGACCCTGAGCCTCTTTATTTGGATTTTGTATCCTGAGCACCAAGAGAATATGCACCCTGTGTTGCCTGGACAGCTGGGGTGGTGATTCACAGACACCAGGAAAGGAAGGGTCCAAGCCGTTGCCACACTTGACTCAAGCCGGCAAGAGCTCCCAGAGGACTTCCTGGAACTGCCAGCCTCAGCCTGAGACACGGGATATTCATCCCTAAGAAGCGAGGAGGGATAGCTGGCCGCCTTTGCAGGTGAGGTAGGTTCTACTGGAGGGGAATTTCATTTTTGGCTCAATCCTGCAGGCAAAATTAGAATGGGGTGGGGAGAGAGAGAAGGTGGGGGAGCACGCATCTGGAGAGATGCAAGTTTTTCTTTCCCCTTCCCTCAGGGGCTACCTCAATTTTTCTGTGTACTTTTCTTTGACTCTATCAGCTTCAGTTTCCTTTTCCTCTGTTTCTGTCCCCTTGATGCTGTTGGCCTCTTTAAAACGTCGCTCTTTATCTGTGCATTTCCCCCTTACCTTCTTTTCATTCTTACTGTCTCTGCCCCCTTCTCTAGCTTTCTTCCTTCTGGTTTACCCCTTTGTTTTACTCTCTTCTTCCTTCTGTGTGTGTCTTCCTGCCTATCTTTCTCCCTCTCTGCACCTTGTTAGCGGCTGAGAACACCTAGAAGGTTAGCGTCAACCTTGAACTTGCACGTTGAACTCTAGGACAGCCGTGCTCGCTAAGGTCTGTCTACAGCAGGAGGATTCTGCTTTTTCCTGACTTCTCACTGCCATTCTTTCCTGCCATGCTCACCTCTTGAGGGCAAGTCCTACACCTGCCAAGCAAGATGAGACTGCCGTGGGCTTAGAAAAATGTCTCTCAGAAATGTCCTGAACCTGCAAGGATAAATGAGAGAAGGCAGGCTGGGAGGGAAAGAATGACCCTGAGAAGTCTCAGATGAATCCTCTGCTGAGTAGCCCTGGACCACCTCAGGATCCCTAACCTCAGAAGGCTGGCAGAGAGGTCAAAGACAGAGGAACAGTATAAACAGTCAAATAAACAGAGAAAAGCGGGCTTAGGAGGCAGGCATAAGGTGGGAGTTAGCATGGAAAAAGCCTTAGCTCAGAGATGGCCTTAGAACTGACCTTAATTCACTTGAAGGTTTTGTTAGCATCTGGCTGTCTCTCTCAGGTACTGAAGGCAGAACAAAAGGAAAGGACATAAATCTCAGTGGTGCAAGGTGCAGGAAATACTCCTTGACAGGAGGATTACGATTCACCAGCCAGTCCCCAGAGAGAATTGATGGACCCCTTGCTAGAAGTCTTAGAGCTTGGGCTAGCTCCCACCTGCAGCAGGACATCGGGACCGCCTGGGGGGCTCCTAGGGGGTTGAAGGTTGTGCTATTACTATTGGCCCCAGGTAACTTTTAGGGGGTAATAGAAATGCTCTAAACAGGATTGTGATAATAATCATACAACGCTAAAAATTGAATCCCCAAATCATTGAATTGTGGGGAAAAAAAAAGAGAAAGCAATGAATCTAATAATCTGGGAGTTTTGTATCTGGGCTAGGAGAACGGGTTGGTTTTATAAATCTAGAAGTTTAGCATGTCTAAAAATGGACCAGACAATATCTAGAATAGAATGACAGTTTTTTTCTTCTGCCACATGGGGATCCTTTCGAGCTCACATGCAGCTGATCCTTGCTATCCACGCACAATACCATGAACTGGTGTGTGTGTGCGTGTGTGCACGCGTGTGTACACATGTGTGTGCACGTGTGTGTGCGTGTGTGTGTGCACGCGTGCTTCATTTTGACATCAAATTGTTGCGAGGTTTACATGCTTTTTTCATTTGTTTCCTCTAAAGATATGGCATGCCATTTTTTTTTAAGTAAGTGCAGGGCATAATTAGCATACATTGAACTATAATATATATGTTGAACATTATTCCTTATTCATTATACGGTCTTTAGCTTGCCCAAGGAACTTACATTTTGTTGGCAAAAACAAAACAAAACAAAAAACTCCAAGAAAAGTTCCCATAAACCCAAAACCCCACTAAATCCCTGCACTTATAAACTCAGAATTCCTTAATAGCGTAGGGGCCAAGGTTTTATTTATTTATTGACTCTGGTTATTATTTTATTTTTGAATTTTACTGTTTTGTGGGTACATAAAGGTTTTATTTTCCCTGCCCCCTCCCCACACACCCCTACAGTGGTCACTGATGCTTAACTGCCCTACGAGGGGGTCTCAGAGGTCTCTGGTGCTTTGGGTAAACAAAGGAAGTGGGAGGGAACAGCCTGCATTTGTCTTACTGAGCCTTTCAATGCTTCTCTCCCAGACTGCTCTCCTCTTGGCCATCTTCACCTCGTGTCCCGCCCCCCGCATCCCTCCCTTCCCTCCCCTTGCTGCTTTCCTCAGATGCACCAGCCAGTCCTGCGGCTTATCATTCCTGCTGTCCGCTGGCTGAGCCCTCGCTTGCGGCATTCCGTCTGCCTGCAACTCGACATACGTTCCAAGATAGATTCCCAGAGAGCGTGGTCCTCCCAGGACAATCTGGCTGGAGCTGCCATCCCAGCTCACATGGGTTTTGACTGCATGTTATTGCCGTGGGAAGGAAAGTGTGCTCCAATCTTCCTTGTCACGGTCACTTAGAGGAGGAAAAGAAATGCATTTACTAGGTGGTAGGAGTTCCTCTCTGCCTCACTTCCTATTTTGCCTCGGGTTGCTAGCTCATGGCAGAATAAGGTCTGGAGCTTGGCAATTGGCCGGGAGAGGGATCTTCCCAGACACTGGCCGTGGGGAAGAAAGACAGACGGGCTCTTAGCGTCTCATCTTGCCAGGTCTCCTGATGAACCACTTTTCTGTTCTGGGCTTGAGGTCTCTTCGGGGTTTGTCATGTTTTTCACATCCCTTTGCTCGGAACTGGAGAGAGTATTTCACCCTGCCCCTTGGTCTTCACTGGGTACCTTAAAGGGGGGAGTGGAAACCTATCAACGGCCGCCTTTGAAGGGTTATCAACGGGGCTGTGGGGTTTGAGGCACATAGTAACAACAGGAGAGTGACTTCCTAATTTTCAGAACAAAAGAGGAAAGGTTTTGCTGCCCTACAGAAAGCATCATTCACACTGATCTAACCTTGGCTATCACTGGACCTGTCTGGGGCCTAACCCTGCTGGGATTTATTAAGAAAAAATATATTTTTTAAACCCAACTCCAATCTCATCATTGTTACCCTAAAGAGAATTCCTCATTCCTCGGTCACGAGACTCAGCAGATATACTTTGCCTCCTCCTAGAAAACCTTTTGGAATCTTAAGCAGCTTCTGCTGCAGGCTGCAAGGAACGCAGACAGACCCTGGCTCTTTGGTGAGAGCAAAGCCGACATTTCAAAAGGAAATTGCAGCCACGCAGTCTGCTGGCGCTGCTATTTTTGACATGCTTGCTGTTCTCTCAGGGCTTGACAACCGCTGTCTCCAGGAGACAGACAAACCTGCTCTTGGCAGCAGAGACACTGCTTTGAAAAAGAGCATAGGAAGACAGCCCTGCAGTTGGGAGGGGCGGGGAGGACGTGCTGCTGGAAGTGAGGTACCTGGTAGCGGGGCCGCAGATCTGAGGCTGCAGGATTTATCCTCACCCAGGGAATCCTGACCCTGCATTGCATCCTTCCCAGTGGGAGTAGTCCTAGCAAGAATAAGAATAGCATCGTTCATTTACACAGCATTTTCAAACACGTTCAGTGTTTTCAGACATCTTGCTATTTAACAAAGGGGTCAAGAGCCCAGTTGCTGGAACCAGATCGTCGCGGTTCAAATCCCTCCTTTGATGGGTGACATTGGGCAAGTTATGAAAGTGTTCTGTGCCTCAGTTTCCGTCTCTGTCAAATGGGGGGTTGTGACAGGACCAATCTCAGAGCTATTTTGAGGATTAAATGAATTAACATATGTACAGTGTTTAAATGTATAATGTCAGCTGTTATTATCATCCTACAGCAATGAACTGAGGTAGGCTAGACTTTGTTTTTTCTTTGGCAGATAAGAAAATTGAAGCTCAGAGGGATTGTGGTATGTTTAAGGGCACACAGTAATGTGTGGTTCATCCTCTTCTGGGGAGGTGGAACAGAATGGAATGCAGCGAGGGTCTAATTGCTATAGGGCAAGAAGAGAGAATGAAGCCATAGCTCCTAAATGTATATATAGGCTTCTGTTTATGTGCCAGCTTGTCTCTGATGGAACAGCAGTAGGCATCTTGTGTTTTTACCCCCATGGGTCTCTGAAAGCACACACACACATGCATATACATACATATATATATACACACATACGTCTATACACAAATACACATACACACATATACACACACGCAAAACCACATAGACACACACATATATACACACACAAACATCTATATACATATGCACACATATACACACATATATGCACACACAAACACACACATATACACATGTATGCATAGGCACACATATACACACATATGCATGCTTATGCATACATCCACATGTATACACACACATATATGGTGCTATATATTAGATATGTATGTAGCGCATATATGTGGAATATCTTTCTATGGAGCCCTTCCTTACCACCATCACTGATCTCTCTCTCCTATTTTAACATTTTCAGTGGTTGACACTCACTAGAGTTTTCCTCACGTACCTGCTCATGCCTTCTTCCTTGGGACGAACGCAGGGTCTTATAGTTAGCAGGAGGGCAGAAGCCATGAGCCAGACCCTGACCCGGAGTTTTCCTGCACTGTTCCAGTGGCTTTCAAACTTCCACTGCCCTGGTCCTCATCCTCAGCATCCGGTCTGTTCCCTAGTCACCTTCAGGTCCCCCTTTGCGGGAGGGGGCACCCTTTAACCTTCCGTGGGAGTGTTTCAGCTTTCCTGCCCTCTTTTAAGCTGGAGGAGACAGGAGGCCCTAGAGTTGGAGGAAACCAGCTTTCCTTCCCTCGTGGGTCTCCCTTTGCCTCCACTCCACCTAAAGAGCATTTATGACGCCTCTTGTTCGGGGTCTTGGTGCGGGCCAGATTGCTGTCTTCAGCCTCAGCTCACTGCCGTAGCCACTATGGCTTCTTACAAAGGTCCCATCCCAGGGCAAGGTGACGTGGCTGCCCTCATGTTTGAGGATTCTGAGCATGCTGGCTTGCTTGCCTTTGGAGTTGGAGAATTGGTCTGAATCATGTTTATTAGCTGTACCTCATTTAACCTCTCCAAGCTTCAGTTTCATCATCTGCAAAATAAGGAAGCTAACATCACTTGCCTTACACAGTTGCTGTGAGGCTCAGAAGAGGCAGCCAGTGAAAAGCTTTAGCAGGAAATAAACTCTCAGCAAAGCGTGGCTCTTCCCTCTGCCAATCAGCAGAGGGGCCCTTAGAGACACCAAATACCCACCTGAGAGTGGGGCCGAAACTATCTGCCTGTCAGAGAAAGGCAGGGCCCTGCTGACTGCAGTTTTGTTCTCTGAAACAAACATTCAAATGAAATATGACATAAAAAACAGACTCAGGATAGCTAGCTATTTTTACCAGAAGGCTCTTTGCCTAGAGGATTCACAGCAGAATTTCTTTAAATAATTGCACTTACGATGTGATTTAATATACAGAAATATAATCTGAATATATCTTGAAAGAATAGGATGGTTACACTGGTAATATGTATATATTTTAACAAAGTTTGTTTCCAGCCAAACTAGAATGAGAATTCTCACTTAACCCGTCCCTGGAGCCCTAGAGCATTGCAGAGGGTGGTGTTGAGGGTCACAGATGGAGGGGGCAGTGAATGCCTCTTTATGAAGGAGGATGCTGATGCGGAGAAGTGAAATAATTTGCCCAAGATCACACAGGAAATTAGGGGCAGAGCTGTGCCTGGGACCCAGGTTTCCTGACTCCAACTCTAGCATATTTTTCCATGGGAAATGGAACTGTAAGGATTATCCAAACACACTGCACACACACACACACACACACACACACACACGTAAAAAAAAAAAACAAAAAACTACATATTCGTTTTCAATCCCTTAGCAGAGCTGCCCATAGACGATGGAATTAAGTGAATTTTAATTTTGCCTTTCCCTCCCCTGAGTTTCCAGGGCACAGAGGCAGTGGGCCTAGCTAGAGATGCCCAGAATCAGATGACCCGCTTCTGGATTTTTAAGGAAGTACTAATGACAGAGGACTAGTGCAGGCCACAGGTATTTAGCACTGGACAATGGGGAACTCATGTACAGGCTCTAGCCTTAACAGCCAAGCCATGGGCTTCCAATCTCACTGATCAAGGGATTCCTTAACCTCTTACGGCTTATTTTTTCTATTAAATTGAGTGACTGGACAGAAGGAAACTGTCATAGATTGGAAATCTGGAAGGCAAGGGGTTATCTGAATCTTCTGTATTTTATAGAAGAAGGAAGGGATGCAGAGGGTTAGCATCTTACCCAGGAGCGCTGACTTCTGATGCCTTGGTAGGCAGAAAGCAGCTTCGAGAGTCTTCCCTGCACCTTGTTGCCCTGCTAGAGAAAGAGGAGTTACTGTCAGTTACAGAGCTCTTTTACAAATCACAGGACCAGGGTCAGGAGGAAGAACGTTTCCAGAAGCCTTGGTTGTTGAGCCATAAATCAGCCAGGCACTCCCTGGCTGCTTTAAGGCAATTTGGCATTGCTGGAAAGAGAAAAAAGGTCTCGTATGGTGGGGAAAATAGCCGTGTTCCCGGCAGAGACTGCTTTCTGTGCTTCAGGGGAAGGATCGCGTCCACCCAGGAGAGCACACATGTGTGCACACACAGGCGCCCAGGCACATCCTCCCCAACCAGACCTTCTACTCACTTGGAAGTGTGTGTGTGTGTTTTGTTTTTCTTTTTTCTGCATCTGCAGTCTCCTGGTTTATGGTTTTATGTGCCTCCAGCAATTCCAAATTGCAATCACAGAGCACCTAAAACGGCAGGTTTCTCCTTATAAGAGGTCTTCCGTTGTCACACGTGGCTTGTGAACCACATGGGACACAACATTAAGAAATATTGGAAGATTTCACACACAGACCTGAATTTTTGGTTTCTCTTAAAAGTAAAGGTGTGAGCTCGTTGATCCTGCATATTTGGTTTCCATCCACTATCAGCAAAAGCTCAGGCATAGTGGCTCCCTGCAGAAGGACATGGGCCCTCTTTGCCCAGTGCCCACGACTTCTTAGTCCCTGCCTCTGAGGCTGGGTCATCTGTCACTTTTTTTTTTTGATGGAGTTTCACTCTTGTCACCCAGGCTGGAGTGCAATGGCATCATCTCAGCTCACCACAACCTTTGTCTCCCAGGTTCAAGTGATTCTCCTGCCTCAACCTCCTGAGTAGCTGGGATTACAGGTGCCCACCACCATGCCTGACTAATTTTTTTGTGTTTTTAGTAGAGACGAGATTTCATCATGTTGGCCAGGCTGGTTTCAAACTCCTGACCTCAAGGGATCCGCCTGCCTCAGCCTCCCAAAGTGCTGGGATGACAGGCGGGAGCCACCGTGCCTGTCCTGTCTGTCAGTTTTAATTGTGCCACCAGCCATGTTTTCTTGTAGGTGGGAGACATTTCTCTCTATGTACATTTCTACCAAAGCTTAGAAAAGGAAAGACAGAAAGAGCATCAGGTTTAGGGAAAACAATACCTAGCTTATGTCACCTGGTAATCCCCGGGGACACTGGTGCTTTCAGGCCCACTCAGAGCCTTCCTGTGGGATTTCGTCTAAGTGACTCAGAGTCGACTATCTGACTTAGAAGTAGCAGGTCAGATGGAGATGGGAGTATGTGTGTTTGCTGGAAGAAACAGAAATGAGAGCAGAAATGAAGGCTGCTTGCCGGGAGGAGCTACCCTTGAGAGACGAAATTGTGAGGCTGCACAGAGCAGAAGGCACTGGAGAGTAAGGAGGGCATGCTGCGTTCTGTGTCCAGTTAAGCAGGCAGGGGAAGGTGTGATGCAGTTCACAGCTCCATCTGGAACGATGAAAATGAGAAACCAGGCAGACTTCCACGTTCAGAGATGTGCCCAATTAGAGACCTGCCTTCTGTTTCTGTGATGTCAGACTTTGGAGCACCACTCCACTCCCGCTGGCTAGGACTGAGCTGGCGTCAGTGCGGGGGTTCACAGGTGGCATCATGTGGCTTTTCTGATAACGACTACCCACCCAGCCACGGGCTATGCATCTGTGTGGTTGCTTCTGCAATGTCGTGAGGCCCACGGCTATCCCCGTATTCGATCTTGCCTCTCCTGGGTTATTCCCAGTTGGTTTCATCTCTCAGGTGGAATCTCCTGACTTTGAAGTTTATTGGCCAAAAGCTAAATGGCCACAGATTTGGAGCCATGTCCAACATTATTTCCTTGGGAGGGAGATAAGGAAGGCCACCACACTCAGCGAATGTTTGTATTTTTAGTACAGTCAGGGTTTTATCATGTTGACCAGGATGGTCTTGATCTCTTGACCTCGTGATCTACCTGCCTCGACCTCCCAAAGTTTTGGGATTACAGGCATGAGCCACCGTGCCTGGCCAAGGCTTTCCCTTTTTTAAGCTTTATATTTGCCCTTTCCAAGAGGGCAGGAAATGTTCGATCAGGTTAGGATTAAATAAAATCCATCAAGAGCCTTACATTTGAATGCCTGCAGCCTCAGTTTTTCCAACAGACATAATTCCAAAAAGTTGTTGTTGTTTTGTGTATATATGATACAATTATTTTCCCATCAGAGGTGCTTTTTAAGAGAAGTGGGCCCTTTCACATTAAAAAAATTACACAATATAGTTAAACTTAAAAGAGAGCATGTAGTCAATAACAAATGAATTTAAACTAGCTTATAGTGTACTTCATGCAATCATAATTCCTTCCTCCAGCAGAAGGAAGAGAATGCTGTGGCACTGGAAATGATGAAGATTACTGATTAGACTTGAAAGGAAATAAACAGCTGAGGAACTAGGAGATATTTTTCAAAGTGTATGTTCAAAAGTGGGAACTCTGGCTGGGTGCGGTGGCTCATGCCTGTAATCCCAGCACTTTGGGAGCCTGAAGTGGGAGGATCACTTGACATCAGGAGTTTGATATGAGCCTGGCCAACATGGTGAAACCTTGTCTCTACTAAAAATACAAAAATTAGCCAGGTGTGGTGACGGGCTCCTGTAATCCCCACTCAGGAGACATAGGCATGATTGCTTGAACCCAGGAGGTGGAGGCTGCAGTGGGCCGAGATTGCACTACTGCACTCCAGCCTGGGTGACAGAGCGAGATTCTGTCTCAAAAAAAGACATAAAAATAAAAAAGGGAGAATTCCAAGAAACTCGATTATAATCTCTCTTTTTCTTACTGCACGCAGTAAGTGATACAATTGCAGGTGGGCAGCACTGCATTTCCCACACCTGTAGCTATGTCAGGTGAGGCAGGACAGGCGACACAAGGACATGGTTCTGAGCCTCTTGATCTCTCTGTGAACAGGGCAGGCAGAGGGTGATATCTGTCCACCCTGAGGGAGGCAGCTCCCAGCGCTGCTCCCCACTGGTGTGTACCTGTGTGACCCAGGGAAGAGTTCAGAACCTCTCTGAGCCTTGGTTTTCTCCTCTGTAAAACTGGGCCATTAATAGACATCCCTCATAGTGGCCAGTGAATCAGTGGAATTAAAGCAGATAATGCTAACAGGCCTGGTGTGCGGCAAGCATTCAGTAAAAGTTGGTTATCATTTCATGGTCTGTTTCTTATTTGCCCACTTTGACAGAGTACTCTCGCATAGGCGGGGCCTCTTGTCAAAACGTTAGGTACAGTTAAAACCACTCAAAGCTCCCATAAATCAGTCTTTGGGGAAATATGTCTATCTATGTAATAGTTTCTCTTGTTTTGTGGATTTGGACTTTCTGATCCAACAGTGACCATGACTCAGCTATTCAACTATCAATCACTTGGTCATAACAGAGGTGACGCATGTAAAGGGGCTTACTACCCTCTTAGAGTGAAACTGTTGCCTTGCTAAAAAAGCCAGCAGAAGAGAATATCCAGGGGTTTTCTTATATTCCTAAAGAAAGAACATAAGCAATGAGGTGACTTACCCATTGAGAATCCCTGAGATCAGCAAGAACTTCCAGAAAACTTGGGAATTCACAGAGAGGTTGAATGAGTCAGTGTGGAAGGGCCAGTGGCTCAGCTCTTCCCTTGGCTGACCTGTGGGCTCCCGTAAGCGGGGGAATGAGCTGGGAAGGAACGCACAAGGGTGCGGGTAGAATGCTTCCTCCTCATGCGAGGTTAGTGCTTTTCCTTGCAGTTATGCTACAAATCAGTGGGAAACAGACTCGGTATTGTATTTGCTTTACCTTCAACATTTCAGGAATGTATTTAATTTGCAAGCCAGTCAGCTGAACTCACTATAAATAGGGAATATGGACAAATGACATGGAATAATTGAGGAGGAAGAGAATTCTAAAAGTCATGGAACTCACTGCCTTGCTGTGCATTAGAAACATTTCCAGATTATTCCAGGCCTATTCTGAAAAATGCCCAGAGAAGGAGAATCCATAATATAGACTCCTTCAAGCTGCTTGTGTTTGCACACCCTTTGTCCTGATGTTTTCCTCCTTTCTCAGCTACACAGCTCCTGCTGTACATTCCGCTCTCTTCCTCCCGTTTTGTCTTCTGCTGCAATGGATACTCAAGTGACCGTATTACCTAGAATAACTCACGCCAGAGTTCCTCAGGTGTGATCTGCAGACCATCAGTCCTGCACAACTTTCCATGGAGAAATAATTCACAGGCGCTATGCTTCCAAAATGCTGCCTCTTGGAGATGCACAGTGCATTATGAACATGAAAGGCTCTGAGAAGTCCTGCACCACATAAACCGATTTCACTTCTTTAACCCAGTGCTTTTCAACTTATTTTTACCACAGAATCTCTATCCCCCTTTTATAGTAATAATATCTGCTCCCAGACCCCTAAAACTCATCCAACAAATACATTTTGAAAAACTCAAAGAGATCTGAAGCTTGTTGCAATGGATTTGAGTAACGGAGCCTCAGCCGTTAAAGGGTTTTTTTTTTTTTTTTTTTTTTTTCAGATGGACCATTTTGTGGCTTCTTGTAAACCTTAAAGTTCTTCATACCCCTCTTGAGTTGTGCAGAACCAGAAATGGTGTTTTGATAAGGCTCTGAATAATGTGATAAAAGACGTCCTCTTCCCTATAGTCCTTGTAAGTCTTCTTAAATAGAAGTCTTTGAGAAAGTAACAGTAAGAGTTGGTCTTATTTGTTAGATTGAGAGCTATCTTGCTAGAAAATGTCTACAGATCTCACGCACTCTTCCAGGCGAACGAGGGTATCTGCATGGCTTGTCTTATGGTGAAACAGTCCGATTCCTAAGCACATCCTTAACCAAACCAAAAACTGTAACGTGCGTTTCTTTTTACCATCACTTTTCTGACTGAATCAAGCCTTTTGATGAAAACATTCACGATAACCTTTTCTGACTACCCTATTTATGAAATCTTCCTCACAATCTGAGAAAGATGCAAATACCAGTAGCGAGTTGTTTTTCTCAGTATTCTTTTCCATCTTCCTAAACACCGTTTGCAAGTGTGACATTTGTCCTTTCTCCCGAAGTATTTTTGGTGTTGACACATCACAGTTGGACCTGGTTCCTCTGGTGCTTGGATTTCAGTCTCCCAGAAAGCTGTTTTCTGCTAGGTTTTTTGTTTTGTTTTGTTTTGTTTTGTTTTGGCGGGGGCAGGGGGTGGACCTGAGTGCTGCTGATGGCTCTTAACTCTGACCCTCCTCGGCTCATCCCAGCAAGGCCTGATGCATGCTCTCTGCTCCTCATCAACGGGTCCAGGCTGAAATTCATTTTTCCATGGTGTCCCTTCTGTGCTCAGAGGCAAATGCAGAAAGGATGTATTTGCTCCTGTCCTGTTGTTGCCTTTGCAGTCATTTCTTTTCTGTACATCTTGAGCCATGAGGAAAAGTTTCTGGTATTAAAGCCACTAAAAGTCAGAACAAATGGACTGTGGGGTGGTGAAGATTGCATCCCATTCTGGGTCTGCTGCTAACCTGCTGTGCGACCCTCCGAGTGTCACCTGCCTGGCACTCAGCAAACGGTGGCCCTCAGTATTGTTGTCCCATCAGTCTTCACTGTAAAGTGAGGTCACTGGATTTGACAGCTGGGTTTCTGCTTGAAAATTCTGCTGATACCTAAGTGTACTCATCAGATGTGCAGCTGGCTCCCTGAAAACTTGGCAGACTCTATCGCTTGGCTTTTGCCACTGGAGTGATCTTTGAAAAAGAGAGTTGGAGTTACTAGATTTTCAACTTTATATAGAGTCACTGAATTTCAGAGCTCATATGCTTCAGTCTATTATTTTACAAAGATCAGAACTTACATTTAAAAATATACTGAGCAGGTTATAGCAAAGTTTTGAAAGTGATGCAATAATTTTTATCTAGTATCAAGCATGATAAACATCTTTCTCCTTTCTTTCTCTCTCTATCCCTTCCTCCCTCCTTCCTTCCCCCTCCTCTCTCCTCCCTCCTCCCTCTCTTTCCTTCCCTACCTATTTTCCTCCCTCCTCCACTCTCTCCTCCCTCCCTCCTCCCCTCTCCCATCCCTTCCCTCCCTCTTCCCTTCCCTTCTCGCTTCCCTCCCTCCCTCTCTTTCCTCCCTGCTTCCCTCCTTCCCTCCCTCCCTCCCTTTCTTCCTTCCTTCCTTCTCTCTCTTCCTCCCTTCTCTCCCTCCCTCCCCCTTTCTCCCTCCCTTTCTTCCTTTCTTCTTTCCTTTCTTTCTCTCTCCCTTCCCTCCCTCATTTCTTCCTATTTTTCTTAGATGAAGTCTATCCTAGTTATTGAGCGATTTCAGGTCCTTCTTTATTTTAGTGTTGCAAAATAAACATTCCCTGGTTTTGGCTGTGTCAAGCACCTTGGCATTATGATTGGAAAAATGTTGGGCATGAAAAGACATTGCTATATTAAGGAGAAGCAGGGGAACTCAGCCCAGCAGGGATGCGAACCAGTGTTCCCTGGGTCTCAGGCTCCACACTTGTGGAAGGAATCTGTAGAAAGGACATAGGAAAGAAAGGTTGATGTTACTCTCTGGTATCCTCAGACAAAGTAGAAGCTGGCTTTTTCCATTTCTGGGAGAGAGCAGTGAGAAGCCCCAAAGGCAGGCATTGGATTGTAGTGCCTGAGTTACCTCCCTGTGCCCCAGAGTGGCTCTGGGATAGAAAGGTCCCTGAAAAAGTGACTAACTCTGCCCTTGCAGTTCTGCGCTGGGAAGCTTCCGAGCCAGGGCCTAGCCCTGCATAGCACTACCAAGGTCCTGCTGCTTTCTGGTGTGTGCTCATCATTCTCATCCCTCTCAGCTTCCCTTCCTGCTCTTAGCCCAGCCTCATGAAGCCTCACAATCCCTGGGCAGGGACAGGAAACCTGTGTGGGCTCCTAATGTGCTGTTTGACCTTGAGCAGGCTGCTTCAATTGAACGCTTTATTTTCAGACTCTAAAAGGAATATCTGCTCATTACGGAAAATTACTCCAATTTAGAAAAGTATAAGGAAGAAAATAAAAATCCCATAATCCCACAACCAGAGACACTCTGTGTTGGACCTCTGTTGTATTCCCCCCACCAGACTAACTTTGTCTGTGTCTGCTATCTGTATATCTATAGAGACCATTCAGTATTTCATTTGAAAAGCTTCATATTATGGCTCTAGTTTTCTCATGCAATTACTACATAGCCATCATATAGATGCAGCATTAGTTTGGTAACCCACTTCCCATTGGACATTCAGGTTGCTTCTTATGAATGGTGCTACAATGAACACCGGTAGTGTAGATACTTGTTCACATTTACGACTCCTTCCTTGGCTATAGTCCCAAAAGAGTCAAGAGATGTGAACGAAGTGAGCAATTAATTTCCTAGGTATCACCTTTCTCACCTAGAGTAAAGCAACAGAAGCCACAATAACAGATAGCAGCAGACACTCACGTAGCATCTTGTGTGCGAGGCAGGTCCGTCAGCGCTTATGTGTACCAAAGCATTTCATTGTCCCAGTGGTCCCGTTTTTTATCTCCTTTCACAAAAGTAGCTTGCTCAGAGTCACGCACATCCAGTAAGTGGGGTGGTGGGATTTCAACGTAGGCAGTCGGGCTCCAGAGTCGTGCTCTTATCTGCTAAGCTAGTAGTGCCTCTGTGGGATGAAAGAGCTAAAATGAAGAATCCCTGGGGTCCTGTCACTCGGGAGCATCGCTAATGTAGCATGGAATACTGCAGATAGTGCTCAACGGAGTAACACAGTTGCCTGATAAGAGTTCACCGGCTCCTGTCATGTTCTTCATCCTCTCATTTGTGTTTGGCGAGTTTGGGGTCTCCGTGTTTGTGAGTGCATATGCATGGGCATGCATGGGTTTGTATAATTTCATGAATGGAACAGAGTCAGCGGGGTGTGAAGCAAGAAAGCCTGAACAATCTATTGACGAAACAATGAAGCACTCGTAATTGATGCTGTTAGTTTTAGATAACTCATGGTTTCCTCTTTATCTTAAGGTTCCCAGGCACCTTGGCTGGGAGATGTGTCATTTTATAATTGGAGTGTCACCCTGGTGGAGCAGGAATCGGAGGGGATTTGGCCATCTACTGTAACCCCCCCGCCCCAAGCATGTCTGTATTTATTGTCTGAGGAGGGTGCTTCTTCCCCTCCTTGAGCTGACCTGCCTGCGCTGTCCAGAAGCATTGCTGGGTATGATTATCCAGGAGAGAAGAAGCTAATTGACAGACTTTTCACCGGCATAACATGTCCACATTGCTCTTATTGTTTGCTAAATATAGAGATTTTCGAGGACCCTTTGAAATTTTGACTCAGTAGGTCTGGGAGAAGCCTGAGGAAACAAAACATATATATATATTTTAAACATGTGCTCTGAGTGATCATCTTCAGGGAGTCTGGGGAAGTCTTAGGTACTTAGGTAGTGGGTCTCAACCTTCACAGGATATCAGCATCACCAGATACTTTTAAAAAATACCACTTCCTGTCCTTCCGGACACCTGGCCAATGGGAGCTTAACAGAACCAGGTAAGGGCTGACTGCCTGCCCTAATGCGAATAATTGATCTAGAGTGGTTTCCAAGTTCAGGATTTAAAAAAAAAAAAGACAACCACGTCTCTAGAGGTTCTTATGCACAGCCATAGCTGGGTACTCACCTCCAGCCTAAGAACCCCTGGTGATAGCAATATTGCACCTCCACATTCAATTGCACTTCACATTTT